ACTTTATTTTTTAAATGTAATTAGTATATATTATTTGGTATTATTTATTTTGCCTGTAGGCCTATATTTTACATGCCCCGGAAAAAGTGCTATGTGCCCTAATCAGGCCCGTAGGAAGCAATTTCACTTTGAGGGGGCACAGCCATACATTTTCAGTTGGGGGGACTATCAACTATCAAAATTCCTTGACAAGCAAAAAAAAGGTCATCAGACATTATTACTGAGGGGGCACAAGCATTTAGCAGCTATGCTTTCTATAGTATTCTATATATCGGCAAAATTATTGGGGGGGGGAGGGGGGGGGCACGCCACGGCCATGCTAATGTATATAGAATTTGAACTGAATAGAGATATACATTTGCCTTTGTAGGAAACATGGGTGCAGATTTCTTATCTCATATTATCTAGAAATATAGTGAATTGTTTGTTAATAGATGTGAGACGCCCTTTGTATACAGAATATCCGAACATAACTTTACTATTTATTTAATATTAAAATGATCATTTTAAAGCCAGTACATATAAAATGAAATCCTCCTGAGCATATGTATTGAAATTTTTTTAGTACCTTTGGAACCTACCCCCCCCCCCCATGGGATTTTCGGGTTTAGACATTTCTCTGTTTGTTGCAAAAGATTTAAGTTACACACACCCCCACCCACCACTCACACACACACAGACGCACACTTTCATAATCGATGCTACGGTGCTGAAACCATTACATGCACGGATTTTATTAAATATCGTGAGAAGATTTTGGTTCTTTTTCATTAATAATTGAGAAAAATGAGCCAAAATCGTAACAAGGCATATTTTGTCTCCGAGAAAAAGCTTTTATTTATTTTCATTAAATTTGTTTTCGAAATGTTCCATCGTGTTTATATGAAATAAGACATTTTTCTTATCAGTGTTTCTACAGAGAGTTTTAAATTGACAAATGCATTCCACACAGTTCACAATATTATAAGTAAATAAATAAAACTAGCCAATTGTACGTAAAGAAAAATGGAGAGGCATGATGCAACTAGGGCCCAAAACGTGCAGTACCCGCAATTGATGGAACGTCCTAGTTTGTAACAGATATTCCTCATTGAACCTCAACGGTTATTTTATTAGGGACTTCGAATCTACCATGCCATACACGTTGAAATAATAACTGATAATTAAGGGAGAATACATCATATAGACTGTGTTTTTCCTGGCTAAATGATGCGCAAGGGTACATTCGATGGCAAATAAATAAATAAATGAATAAAATAAACTGGCCAAGATCTGGATGATTTGTACTTTTCACCTTTAGATTAAAACCCAGATTTTTACTATTGACTTTTTTTTCAAATTATCAACAAACCATGCGGGAAATGCATGAACTTTGATAAAGTTTTGTCATCATCGGAAGTTGTACGTTCAATTTGTAAATTAAAAAAAAAACGTACAGAATGTGTTTCAATCATTGCTGAGATTGTAGCAGGACTTGTTTGTACCTGTTAATTGATGCTTTTCAGATTAACTGCCAAATATTGTTGTTATTCTGAGAATTTAATTTAGATTTGACTTAAAGGCACAATTATAGTTATTTCGAAACATTTCAAAATGTTTGAAGTTATATACATCTACATATAAATAAATTTTCTGCAAAATGTTTAATCATACCAATCAAATTAATAATTTCAACACTACACTTCGATTAAAATTTATTAATAGTTTACATTTTTAGATGATTTGTTATAACTTGATCTTTCTCAATTTTTTATACCGGTCCCCATGAAAAGTCTGCTTTTAAAGTCTGAAGTCCGAAGTCCGCTGTACGCTATTTCGCAAATGTCCAATATGACTTTAAATGTTGTATATTGTATTTCTTTATGAATTCAATGTGGGTACATTAGATCACCTGAGCTAATATCTAAGTAAGCTCTCTGGTAATTTTTCTTTTTAATTAACTAACTTTTTGTATGCATTTGTTACCATTTCCCATTTTTAGATGAGGCAAGTCGCCCGCGTGGCGCAGTGGTTAGAGTAAGGAGTTGATCCTTACGTCGCAGGTTCGAATCCCACTGTGGGACGTGGAGACCGGTCCTTCGGATGAGACCGTATAAACCGACGTCTTGTGTCGCAGTAGGTGCTGGCACGAAAAAGATCCATCACTGCTCAATGGCCCTCAGAGCCGAGTATAAATTTGCAGCTCTTCACCGGCAAGTGGTGGCGTCTCCATATGAGTGAAAAATTCTCCAGAGGGACGTTAAACAAGAAACAAACAAAATACATGTAGATGAGTCCGAAGTTGATAAAGAATAGCATCATGAAAATCTTTAAAATCAAGTATTTCAAACAGCACAATGAATCAAAGATAATATTGAGAGTATTTGCCCTTAAGGCCTTACGGATACTTACATGTATTTAGGCACTAGTAGTAATATTGATTGAAAAATTTCATCATAAATACGAAATATTGTTGAACAGAGATTGACCATTTATATTTAATGTTGCGTTTCGCTCTTAACTGACAATTTCATAGACGCGTGTGTACATTACCTGTGTACATTACGATAATTTGTTGGTTTTTTTTTTCTTTTTTGTGTCAGAAAGCTATTGACGGGCCGTGGGCAGGGCATATTACATGTATTCCTAAAGAAAATCCGAAAATTAATTTAATAATGATTAAAAATACTGTATTGTATACCGGTTGTCATGTTTAAAAGGTTCTGGCTGTGTTCCAAACGAGTTCATAGTCTCTAACACTTAATTGTAATGATAGGAAAGGAATCAGGTGATTAAGAGTTTATATGAAATGTGAAAATAACAAATAGTCCTTATGTTCAAAAGTCCAATTAAACAATACAAATTGAGAGCAGAGAAGACAGGAACCCTGAAAACATCGGAGGTGGGATTAGGTGCTGTGGAGGAGTAAGCCTCCCATGTCGACCGTTCACATCCACCATGAGCCCTTTGTCTTAATTGGGAAAGTGCAAGACATCCCTCTAGATGATTCTTTTTATCCAACCCATAGATGACCGATTTGATGCGACTGTAATTTGTGTGGTTTAGAGAATCTTTTAACCAAATACCTAAACTTAGTAAGCCGAATAATTTTTTTATTCTAAATTTACTAAAATCATGGTCCATATCAAGAAATCTAGAACCTTGCACCCTGTAAGAAATTTTAAAATTTGCCTGTCAAATTAAGTAAAAGAAGTTACCAAAAAAGGATTAAGTTTTTATTAAGCTTGACCTTTTTTTTTTTTTTTGGGGGGGGGGGGGAGTGTTTGTTTCCAAAAAGATATGAGATGCCTTGGGATTGCGACACTACTTCTGCAAATTAAAAATTATCAAAATTTGATGAACAATTTTCCTTGGTAAATACCAAATATTTTGGTATTGATAAAAGTCCATTTCTTGAGTTGTGAAGCATGTATTTAGTATATACTAATGATAGAGTTGTCTTTCGTATAATTCTATATTTTAAGAAAGACGCACATGACACGTCAATACCTCCATTTTTTTAGTAAAGTTATATCAATATACAATTTATGTGATTTTTCTCTCCAAAATGCAATTGAGTAGCGGTAGTCAAAGGATAAAAGTAAGGTCACAGTATTAGCACGTGACTCTTAAAGAAAGAAATACCGAAGGGTGGAGTAATCAAGAAACTGTGATTATATTGTGGTACAATTGTAGAACACCACCACTGGAAAGTCCTACAATCTTGAAAGCCGCAGATTGAACATCTTCAACACTTCAAAATAACGATCCATAATAGCGAATGCGCAGTAAATGACTTCACACGACATCTTAACGAAGTAAAACACATAAAAGACTGTACCCTTTTAAAAAGTGTATAATCTGTCAAAATTAGAAGAATCAACATATCGGACATAATCGTTTCATTGATTATTAAGTAAGCGGTATGTACATGTATGCTGCTGAAAGTCTGTTGCCTAAAATGATCAAATAAGCCGATTGGATGTATTGTAAAAATATGTTTTGCAGTAAATCATTTTTAGCAATGATTTATTTACGATGAATGCATGTGAACATTTTGATATTCGATACAGAACCTAAAAGGACTATCGATCCACAAAATAATATGAAAGAATATTCAACACTAAGGCTGCTTTTATCATCTTCTAAACGTCCTTTGTAACAACATTCCATGAGTTCTCTCACAGCGCAACAACAATGTTCCATATAAACGCTAGACTTACAAGTTCAGAATTTCAAATCGAAAGTTCTCTATACCATTTACACATTAAGTAAATTGTATTTTATTTCTCACGATTGAAAGTACATATGCACTTTGATCAATATCTTAAATAAGAACAATTTCATCCCCAGGAAAGCCCCTCAGACGTCTGCATCAATGAACATATAGACTGGTATAGTTTATTTGGATCTTGCTTGATCCACTTTAAGCAGATATTGTCAAAACAGGTTAAACTGGATTCATAACTGATCTGGTTTGATCTCATTATCTGTGATTATATAGCTCCACTGAAGGGTGACAAATTTTAATAACCATTATAGTCATTAATGATTTGGCAAACATTTGGCAGTAGATAAAATCCTAATTCTTAATACTGTACTTCGTAGTGCAAACCTATCATTAACAAGAACTCTATCAATGAAAACAGGAAGCCAAATTTGTCTTTCTTGCTGATTTTAGGAAACATCATCACGAACAAAACTGAAAAAATCCCTATTTGACCCAAAAAGTGTAACTGATCATAAGTGTCACTAATTTGTTTCAGAGAAAAGGCTTTTGTATTCTCAGAACACTTCTAAGTACACTTAAGATATCCAAAGGATATAAGAATTGAAGTTATGAAACTTCTTACACAGGCATATTTTTTCATGAAGCGGTCAAGCCTAGATTAAAATTATTGCCCATGTATCCTTACGCTCTATTAAAACTAAATATATTTTATTTAAATAAATTTATCTTGTTCTGATTATACTTTTCTGTTTATTGTTTTAAACAAAAAATATTCCTACATATTTTGCAGTTTATTCCAAACCCATCCAGAGGTACAAGACGCTTTTCTTCCATTCCAACAATTGTCGATGGAAGACATGGAACACAGTGCTGTCTTACGATCACACGCCCTCCGTGTCATGGGAACAGTTGATAAATGTCTTACCCGGATACGTACGCCGCTAAAACTTCAGAAACTAATGCACGAATTGGGGGAAAGGCATGTCCATTATAACGCCAAATATGATTTCATAGATGTAAGATGCTAGTAATGTTTGTTGAAATTAATTTGATGATGTGTCCTGAATTGAGATAGAATACTGTACAGTCAGTTTAATTCATGGTTTTCAATGTTCGTGGGTAACTAAAATTTTACTGAATTGTGCATTTTGTGGGGACGTACTTTCTTGAGTAACTCGTATAGAAAAAGATTCAATGAATCAATACTTTGACAAAGTTCGTTCTTGCTGATGTAAATTCGTAGTTAAGGGTGACCCACGAAATCCACGAACATTGATTTTCCATGAACAATCATGATTCTGCTGTATATGAAACTGTATTTATAGATGGTGGGAAGACAATTTGTACACGCCATACAACCTCATCTTCAGGACACCTGGAATAAAGATCTAGAAGAGGCTTGGTCTCAGCTTTTTAGGGTCTTGTGTTACCATATGAAGAAAGGAATGGTAGACACAAATGCAAATGCAGATTAAAACAGTACACTTGTATATGTACATCGAACGCGCAGAATACCAATCCCTTCGTACATGTAGTAATTTAAAACAAATGTACATATTGATTGAACTTATCAACTGAAGAGACATGTTTATTTATACACAGGCTGACAGCATGATATACTGAACTGAAAAAAAAAGCTTTTAAAAAATGATTTCCAAAAATGCCCAAAATGAATCAAATTTCTCTATTAGCTGACTGGAAATCTACCTATATTTAAAAGCGGCAATAGACACATGGACATACTGTAAATCTAGAACCAAAGAACGATCCTTGAATTTTTGTTTTGTCATTACATTATGCAACATATGTTAGTTAGTGTACTGGAGGAAGAATGCATTATTAATCAAGTCAATATCTTCTTAAAATCATATTTTTAGAACACAAATGGGTTTCCTTCAACAAATATATGTAGATTACCCTATGTTGACTTTATTTCGTTTCGTGTTGTTTAAGTGTGTTTCCTTTATCGGATTATTCCTCAATGATTTATAGTTTCCACTTAACAAAAATCTGGTAAGCACCAAGTAAAAAATGGAGAATTCTTATAAACCTATTCTCGATGGGCTTTTCAAACGGCAACTCAGTGCCAACTGTTAACAATTGTTTTGTAACAAAATCAATATTTCATCCTTACTTTCAAAAGAGTCAGATGAATATATATTTGAAAATGAATATTGCTCACTTAGAAAAATGTGAAGAATTTTACTGATATAGAAGAATATATATAGAGTGATAATAGAATTATTTGTGAAATAAAAAGCTGTGGCTAGTTATGATGGTACTTTTACATCAACAGTTTTATCCTACTTATGTTCTCTTTGGCAAATTTCTGAAGTTTGTTTGTTTTGTATGTTTGTTTATTGTTTAACGTCCCTCTTGAGAATTTTTCACTCATATGGAGACGCTACCACTTGCCGTTGGAGGGCTGCAAATTTATACCTAGTATACTCGGCACTTAGGGCCATTGAGCAGTGATGGATCTTTTTCGTGCCAACACCTACTGCGACACGGGACCTCGGTTTATACTGTCTATATATATATATATATATGGGCCACAGTTACTCAGGTGAGCGGTGTGGCCCATGGGCCTTTTTTGTAGTATAATCAAATTCTCCAATTTTATGTATATTAAGAAAATCCCCAAACACCATGAAAAAGGATTTGGACAATTTTATTTTTCCGACTGCCCTCCCTCCTTTTCGGAAATGAAGCTACGTGCCTTTGGTAGTGCTTGACTAGAATTTTGTCCAAATTTTGTATATTAGAAAATTTTTCTTTCGTTTTTCTATTAATCGATGTTAGATTCTCTTTCACATGGCAGTTTAAAATAAATCAAAGATTTTTAGAAAATCGATATGTGTTCCCTTGTCTACTTTTTTACGCTTGCATAGAGAAATAAATGATTTGAACTGGATTAAAATTCGGTGGAGAATTTATGAAGTTCATTCGAACTACACTTCACGACCTGAATGGCTTTTGGTAAGGTATATGTACTTTGAAGGATATAATTCTGCTGTTTAATCCGAATTTTATTTCAGAGCAATTCAATCGTCAGGAAATCCTTATGGACGTCGGAATCAATTCGTAAACAGCTTGACATAGGTCTCATGGACAAATTAACTCCGCTGATCCACTTAAACCAGATATTGTCAGAACAGGTTAAATTGGACTCATCAGTAATTTGTTTTGATCATAAATTGCAACATTATCAAGCTAATCGATATGTATAGAAACATAAACTGCTCCTAGAAACATCCATCAATAAATCAAATATTCCACATCCAAGGTTCCATCACAGTCTATCATTTAGACGTTTTACGTAATGTAATTCGCTTTGACATGCTATAAAATTAATTGACCATTCCTGAAGCACCTTTTAAACTTTTTTTTCAATTATACTTACTGGTGTAGGATGGTTATAAACCAAATAAACTGATCTAACGAAAGAGCGGCGTTTTTGTACAAATTATTTTCAATAACCTAGCATTGGACAAAATAATTATAACGAGATTCAATAACCTGGCATTGGACAAAATAATTATAATGAGGAATCGGTTTCTCAAAGGTGTCATTGTTTGTAAACTTAAGATGTCTTAGACTGCTAGTTAAAACAGTATTTGGAAAATGAAAAGAAAATTTTTGTATTAAAAAAAATGAAAATTAGTACTTCATCATAGTTCATGCATACTTCATGATTTATCTAGTAATAAAAACGTGAAGATAACAAACAGGTCCTTAAACCAGACCTTCAAAAAATACAAAATTGTGAACAGGGCATAAAACACGGACCCCAGTAAATTCCAAAGGTGGGATCAGGTGCTAGGAGGAGTGTGCATCCCTCGATGAGCGGTTACATCCGCCGTGAGCCCTATGTATTAATCAGGTAAACGGAACATTCCGTAGTTAAATCTAGTATTAAAACAAAGGTCTAACAATTGGTATAAAACACGTCAGGCAAAATACGACCAATAATGGGTTATATTTGATAACAATTAAGGCTATTACAGCGACCATAGAATCTACGAAAGGCTGACTGAAAACGAAGTTGTTGAAATCCCTGTAACATCAACTTATCTGTCAGTAGCCTGCCTCAGTTTAATTAATACGAAGAATTATGATTTAAATTTCTCTTTTTATGAACACTTTTTTTAAATTTGAATGTGAATTTGAATTCTTATCAAAACAAACAAGAACACGCAAAAGAACCATTTAAACCAACCGAGATAATGATAGAATTAAGTCCACCTAAAACACTTAAACGTTGGCATGCTACTTCATTAAAACTCATTACATGCCAGGAAAACTCGTCATGTGATTAAAAAAACATGCTGTTATGTGAACAAACTAATCAGTGTCGACGATCAAATCAGAGTAAATCCGCTCGAAAGAGGATAAATTGTTGTCATTATTGATGAACAGAGATGCAGTTTAAAGTCACGAAGAAAAATCAAAGGATAAGTGATTTTATGACGAGAAACAAATTTCTGAAACTCTCAAATTGTATCTTTCAGCCATATTCTTCTGATCTCACTATCCCGAGAATCCCATTTCGGGACTTGGAGACCAATCCTTTGGATAAGATTAAGGTCCTGTGTCGCAGTAGATGTTGAGACGAAAAGGGTCCCTCATTGCTCAATGGCGATTTCGTGTCTAGAAAAAATCTTAATTGGTATGCCTCCAAAGGCAACTGGTGGCATCAGAACATTAGTGAAAATTTCCCGAGGAGACTTAAAGCAACAAGCAAACAAACGTTTTCTCAACTTGAATTTTAATCATTGAGAGAACATGGTCATTAGCCATGTCTCACTTCTCATCATGCTGACATTTTTTTATATATAAAATGAATTTATATTCCGAAGAAGGGTTTTTCGTACTCCGGTATCTACTGGAGTATAAAAACTCATTGTCATATCAATTTTTAAACAATATTAAAGATGATCACTCTCAACCAGACACAAGTTCCTTAGTGAGTACAATCTGTTCTATAAAGAACATTTTATCTCTACTCTGGAATCTTGAAATTCAAATCAAGACAATGAATTACATAAAACTACGTGATCCTGTCTAATGTCTCTGAAAATTATGTCTCAAATACATGAAAATATGAACAGTTACCATGCTCAAAAGTCCAGTTAAACTATGCAGTATTAGAGCAGAGCAAACGTTGACTTACGAAAACATCAGAGGTGGAAACATATGCCATGGAGGAGTAAGCGCGTCGCATCCGCTATGAGCTCTTCGTTTTAGATCGGGTAAACGGAGATATATCCGCGGTATCAAAAATTGACCTTAATATTTATGTTAAATACGTCAGTCAGTATTCGACCTAAATACATCTAAAGCAGTTGAGAAGAATACGAACGCTATGATAATTAATGTAAAATTACAAAGAAAACATTGAAAAAAGATTGACATAAAAAAAGATAAATTGTAAGGCCTTATAATTGGAAGCTTTGTTTTCAATTTTAGAACCTTGTTAAATGATTTTTATTATTCCTTCCGCTAGGAATGATACCTCTTGAAATTAGCTTTAACATGTTTATTAAATAAGCCTAGAATGTATTAAATTAATATATGATAATTCTATTTTTCTTAAAGGGAATTGGCAAAAAAATGAAATGTTGTTCTCATGAATAGAAAAAAAATGACGTTTTGAAATAAATAAGATCTTCAAATTCATTATTTATGTATGTTTACATGTACCTCTCACCGATAGAAAATAAAATCATCAGAGAGTTGAATGTCATTTATATTACAAAACATGCGGCTGAAAATAAATGACATAAAAGAATACACAAATAAAACTAGTACCTCCAAGTTAAAAACAATGATAAATACAACTGCACAATAGAGTGCATGAATTTGTAAAAGCAGTTTTATATCATGACCAGAAAACATGCATACAAAAGAGGATATAATTCAAATTTACCTATATCAAAATACTCAAGTCTAGCACCTGCAGTTCTATGGCAAAAATGTAACTTTACATCCTAAAAAAGCAAAATTGCAATACTCTGTATCATCAAACTTGTGTGACTAGCATATCATACTTATAGACTAGAAATAAATGAGTAATGTTAAACATAGTTATATCACAACTAGCACCAGTGATAAATACCCCTATGGAGGCGCTATCCCCCCTCAACAAGGTAGACAATATACACTGGAGAAACACATTGGCAACGTTATACCAATGTTTGAGACGTAACATTATCTGTAAATGATTCACGATATCATACATATATGTTACATAAAGAAAAATGGAGGACATTTCGCTGCTTCCCATATCTAACATGGTTCACATTATTCTCTTCTACCAGGAGAAAGAAAAGCAAGGCTAGATACATTTCATTTGGTAAATAAAGATATTTTTCAATTGATTGGATGACTTGAAAGCTGGTTAAGAGAGTCTGGGTATTGACCATCTAAATCAAAATGACTGATGTCTAATGCCTCATAATTCAAAAATGAAAGA